CTCAGTACCATTTTAGCTTTGATCAAATGGCCAAAATACTGACACACTGATTTCTAGAGCTCTCTTTGGTCTTGTAGTTTCAAAACCTCTTAATTTGTCTTATGGTGTATGCATGGAGTTTCTGCATACAGTGACATATATATATATACATATATATATATAAAAATGTGCGTGAGCATATGATAGACAGGTAGCTTTCAGTACTAATGAGGCAAGCAGTTATGCATCAGGATTTCTGTTAGAAATTCCTGGCCTTTTTTAAAGCTTTCGGGGAAACACCTAAGTTGCAAATCAAGGGATTTTTTTTTTAATTTTCAGTTTGGGGTCATTCTACAAATGTCTTTGAATGAAGATGGATACATAAAGCCATGCTCCTGAGTAGATAGCTACAATACCTCAGAAAGCTAGGTTACCTCAGAAAAGAGTGTTCTGTAATAGTTTTGGAACAAATATGCTTGACTAAAACCCTGAAGAGGGTTTTTGAAGCTGAGAAAGTTTAAACTCAGGTACATGAAAGATCCAGGAAAAGACTATCAGATTTTCCAGACTGATGGTTGAAGACACAATTAGATTAAATCTATTTGGTTTTTAGAGAAGGGGATTTTTCTCTGGTTTGAGTATTGAACAAGGGGTGCTTTTGGGTACTGCACAGAGATGTTTTGAGATTAACAGGATGACACTTTACCACATGTTTCACAATTTTAAACTTGTTTTATGTATCTTCAGTTTGAGTTTACTCTGTTTACTCTGAGTAAGCTCAGTTTGAGATAAATTCTATTTTGCCTTTATTTCTTTTGTGAAATTCACTTCTGTTTTATGATTAAGACCAAAGTTGCAACATTGCATTTCAGTGTGAGATGACCTTGTTAAAAACAAAACACAACAACCATGATCTATCAAGCCAAGTTTCAGTCTGAGTTCTGACACGTCCAGTTATAAAATAGAAACATAGAAAATAGGTACGGGGGTAGGCCATTCAGCCCTTTGAGCCTGCTCTGTTATGCAATATGATTATGGTTGATCATCCAACTCAGTACTCTGTTCCTACTTTCTCTCCATCCCCTTTGATCACTCTACCCCAAGAACTATTGATAACTCCTTCTGGAAAACATTCAAAGTTTTGGTCTGAGCTGCTTTCTGTGGCAGTGAATTCCAAAGGCTCCCCACTCTCTGGATAAGGCAGCAGTGGCAGCAATGTTAGTCAGAACGAGGACCCAGCATCAGGTGTGAGCCCAGTTTTGGAGCCGGCAGCTCTAGAGGACTCCTGGCAGCGACGACACCGGAGGAGGCAAGATGGCACTGAAGAACGGTGACATGGTTCCAGCGACAGTAGCAGCTTGGCTCCAGGCCATGGCTGGGCCCGGATACCTGATGGCAGAGACAGTGGTGTTCTGGTTGCAATGGTGTGTGGGCACTCAGGGCACCCAAGTGTTCACAAACTGAGGGACGGACTTTGTGGCTTTGTTTTTGTAGTGGCAAGGACTCATCGTGGAGGGAGGGAGTGATCCTGATGTTTCCTTTAGAATCATAGAATCCCTACAGTGTGGAAACAGGCCCTTTGGCCCAACAAGTCCACACTGACCCACACAGCATCCCACCCACACCCATCCCCCTAAAAACAGACCTAATCTACACATCCCTGGACACTATGGGCAATTTAGCATGGCCAATCCACCTAGCCTGCACATCTTTGGACTATGGGAGGAAACCAGAGCACCCGGAGGAAACCCACGCAGACACGGGGAGAATGTGCAAACTCCACACAGACAGTTGCCTGAGGGTGGAATCAAACCCGGGTCCCTGGCGCTGTGAGGCAGCAGTGCTAACCACGGTGGCTCATTCAGACAGCTAGCTCAGACATGATGGGTTAAAAGCCTCCTTCAAATATTATCAGCATTCTACAGTACAGTGACACAAATGCAAATCATTCTTTCTTAAAGTACAGGAGGAAGAGTTTTGATGAGGGGGACAGCCTTTCTCGTCTCAGGCTTTTGTCCTTGCTCATATCATACATTTAATCTGACTTTGTGGGTCACTGCTGTATTTATAGTTTGGCATGTAAACCTAAACACCATTGTGAAAGTGTGCCAGTGTTTACACTGGTGCTTTCAATTAGCATCAAACTTGGCAAGCCATGAAAGGACAACACAGGAGATCTGCTCCTCTCTGATGTACTGAGCTTACGCCTCTCTCTACCCACTACATAATGGAGGGGGGGAGCAGCTCAGGATGACCTTCTCAACAGGCCCTGCCTGGTTTTTAGCTAGTGCTCCACATCGAAATGATGGCAGAGTACAGAAATTAATCTGTGATTCCCACATGAGAAAAAGCAGATGTAAGAGTAGATGCACATTCTAGTAGATGCGTTCACAAAATATACGTTGTGCTTACACAATCCTCCCTGCCTAGGTTTCTGCTATGAGCTGGGCCCATGTGGCCCAAGTACAAAGAAAATCTGAAACAAACACAAATTACTGGACAAACTCAGTTAGTCTGGCAGCGTTTGTGGAGAGAGAAACAGAGTTAATGTTGAGTCCAGTGACCCTTCTCAAGACCCATCTCCGTGTCACACTCTCTGCTTCCAATTTCCAGCATCCACTGTTCTTTGTTTTATTCCAATGAAAATCCTGTTGTTCCAAAAATAAATGGAACACCAAGATATTTTGGTGTGAAAAAAATATTATGAGCAAATTTTTGGGCCAAAATGTCATTAGGTAGGGAATTCCAGGATTTTGACCCAGTGACAGTGAAGGAACGGTGATACGTTTCCAAGTCAGGATGGCGAATGGCTTGCAGGGGAACTTGTAAGTGGTGGTGTTCCCATGTATCTGCTGCCCTTGTCCTGCTAGATAGAAGTGGTCCTGGATTTAGAAGGTGCTGTCTAAGGAGTCTTGGTGAATTTCTGCAGTGCATCTTGTAGATAGTACACACTGCTACTACTGAGCATCGGTGGTGGAGGGAGTGGATGCTTGTGGATGTGGTGCCAATCAAGCGGGCTGCTTTGTCCTGGATGGTGTCAAGCTTCTTGAGTGTTGTTGGGGCTGCACTCATCCAGGCAAGTGGAGAGTATTCCATCACACTCCTGACTTGTGCCTCGTAAATGATGGACAGGATTTGGGGAGTCAGGAGGTGAGTTACTTACCGCAGTATTCCCAGCTTCTGGCCTGCTCTTGTAGCCACTGTGTTTATGTGGAGAGTCCAGTTCAGTTTCTAGTCAATGGGAACCCCCAGGGTGTTGATATTAGGGGAATTCAATGATGCTGTTACCATAGTGATATCACAAGAAAGAAATTTGCTAGAGATATTCTTTGTTATATATTTCAGAACAGAAGGGCCCACAACCTCGGGGCATCCCAAAGAACCTTGCAGCTAATTTTGAAACATAGTCATTGTTGCAATGTAGGGGGGAGAGAGAACAGCCAGTTCTCACACATTAAACCCACATGGACCACAATGAAAGCGTCATCTGAACACTGGTTTTTGTGATGTTTGTTGATAGATACACACTGGTCTGGTCAGCAGACAGAACTCACCAGCTTTTCTTCCAAATAGTAACTGAGGGATGTTTTTATACCCAACTGAGAGTCATAGAGGTCTATAGCACAGTGAAAGGCCCTTCAGCCCTTCAAGCCTTTAATACTGGTTCACCCAATGAGGGCTTCGTTGGGTAGGCCATCCCTTTTACCCATCCCACATTGGCCAGAGCACAGATAAAAGTCAACAGTTGTGGGTCTGGAGTCACATGTAGGCCAGGCCAGGTAAGGCCTGCAAATTTCCTCTCCTGAAGAGCATTAGTGAACCAAATGGGGTTTTAACAACAATTGGCAATGGTTTCATGGTCATCATTCAACTCTTAATTCTAGATTTTTTTTTAAATTTAAAAATTGAATTTAAATTCAACCACCTGCCTTTGTGGGGTTCAAACCCAGGTCCCCAGAACATGAAACAAAAACCGAAAGAACTGCGGATGCTATAAATCAGAAACAAAAACAGCCATTGCTGGAAAAGCTCAGCAGATCTGGCAGCATCTGCGGAGAGAAATCACAGCTAGCGTTTTGGGTTGGGTGACCCTTAGTTCCGAGATGCGACCAGACCTGCTGAGCTTTTCCAGCAATTCCTGCTTTTGCCCCAGAACATTACCTGGTCTCTAGATTAATAGTCTAGCAATGAACCACTAGCCCATCACTTCACCTGCAAGAGAAGCAGAGGGGCCCAGGGTTTAATGTCTAACCTGAAGGATGGCACATCTGTAACAGTGCGAAAATCCCTCAGTACAGCACCATGAGTGTTCACCCAGGCTATACACTTAAATACTTGCATGAGGACTCAACTTCCCGTGCTGTAATGTCGAAAATTTACAGACCAGGACTGTCACTCAAGGGGATTATTACCAGTGACATGGACCAGTTGGTTCTAAATGCAGTCAAACAAAAGCAAAATATAGCTGATGTTGGAAATCTGAAACAAAATGCTGGAGAAACACAGCAGGTCTGTCAGCATCAGTGGGGGGTACGATGGGGGAAGAGGGAGAGAGAGAGAAAGGAAAATAGAGTGAATATTTCGAGTGCTTTTGTGCTGAATTCAAGTTCAGTTCTGAAGAAAACTCATACTGGGTCTGAGATATTCACTCAGTTAAAATCCGAGAGAACTGCGGATGCTGTAAATCAGGAACAAAAACAAAGTTGCTGGAAAAGCTCAGCAGGTCTGGCAGCATCTGTGAAGGAAAAAAACAGAGTTAACGTTTCAGGTCCGGTGATCTGAGGTGTTCTGAGGAAGGGTCACCGGACCCGAAACATTAACTCTTTTTTTTCCTTTCACAGACGCTGCCAGACCTGCTGAGCTTTTCCAGCAATTTCTGTCTATGTTAACTCAGTTTCTCTCTTTCGCTCCACCAACGGTGACAGACCTGCTCTGTTTCTCCGGCACTCTCTGCGTTTGTTGTTTGTTTCTGTGCCGAATGTGCCGTACCACTGAGGGTTAGGCAGTATTTGCGGGGTTACCTTGAGACCCCCACACATCAGGCAGGCAGTGAAAAGCGTCTGCCCTGCTCCTGGGTAGAGGGGGTTGAAAATCTCGCTGGGGTCCGTGGTTCCTGCAGCGGTGTCTGCTTCCAGCCCCTGTAGCTTTAACTGGGTCCACCTTGGCGCGATATCGGCGGGCAGTTCGGCAGACAGGTCCTTGGCACCTTCCAGGGCAGCAGGAAAGCTCTTGCACCTCTGTGAGTCGGTCATCTCCTGAGGCGCACGGGCCTGGTCCTTCATCGAAGCAGCCTCCTTTGTCGCAGCCATCTGTAAGACGCTCCTAGGCGTGTCGTAGTGATGGCGTACGGAGCTGGGAACCTGATACTCCGACCCGGGAGTCTCGCAAGTGCACAGGGTCCGCTCGGCGGGCCAGGCCGACGGGATGCTGAGCAAGGAGCCAAACTCATCGCTCTGGCAAACGTCCAGGCTCCCGGCGTAGGAAGAGAAGCTTCCGGAATAGGAGGAGTGGCTGGCGGTGGCGATGCCGCTGTCGGAGGAACTCTGGCGGCCCACTTCCTGCAGCTTGCGCGACCGGGGCGGCTTGGGAGGGGGCTTCGACCCACGGGTGACCTCCGCGTAGAGTTTCTCCTCAGCTGTGCCCAGCCCCTTGGCCGCCAGGCCCAGAGAGTGACCCTCTGGCAGGCCACTGATCGGCAACTGCTCTGGCCACAGGGTCATCCGACTTCCCAGGCTGGTACTGTCCGACTGGCTGGTGTCGGAGGACTCGGTCGAACTTGAAAGACTGCGGTCATCCCCTGGAGCAGAGATAACAAGACACAAATAAAAACATCCCAGGGGGAGGCACCATAGCGCTACAATATACACAGCCCAATCCTTATGCCAAGCCACACCCAAGGATGAACAGGACATTGATAAGGCCTCTTCTGGAATACTGTGTCCAGTTCTGGTGCCCCCCCACCCCCAACCCCTTATAGGAACGATATTATCGAGCTGGACAGGGTTCAGAAGGGATTTACCAGGATGTTGCCAGGTATGAAAGGTTTGAGTTATAAGGAAAGGTTGGACAGGCTGGGACTTTTTTCACTGGAGTGTAGGAGGTTGACAGGTGACCTGAGAAGTTTATAAAATAATGTGAGGTATAGATGGAGTTGATGTCATTGTCTTTTCCCTAAAATGGAGGATATCAAGACTAGGGGGCACATTTTTAAGGTAAGAGGAGAGAGATTTAAAAAAGATATGAGGGACAAATTTTTTTACACAGTGGGTAGTTTGCGTGTGGAAAGAACTTCCTGAGGAAGTGGTGGATGTGGGTACAATTACACTGTTTAAAAGACATTTGGATAAGTACACGAATAGGAAAGGTTTGGAGGGATATGGGCCAGGAGCAGGCAGGTGGGACTAGTGTAGTTTGGGATTATGTTCAGCATGGACTGGTTGGATCGAAGGGTCTGTTTCCATGCTGTATGACTCGGTGACTATGACTCTATGATCAGGGTAGGGAATAAGGCAGTGAACAATCCATGAAAGTAGTGACATATTTTATTGCCCATCTTTAATTAAGAGTCAACCACATATCTGTCTGAGGTTCTGAGGTTCTGATGAAGGGTCACCAGACCCGAAACATTAACTCTGATATTTTTCTTCACAAATGCTGCCAGGCCTGCTGAGCTTTTCCAGCAACTTCTGTTTTGTTGCTCATGTCTGTGGGTCTGGAGTTACATGTAGGCCAGACCAGATGAGAATGGCAGATTTCCTTCCGTAAACGACATTAGTGAGCTAAACAGGTTTTTAACAATTGACAGAGGTCACGTGGTCATCATTAGACTAGCTTTTCTTTCCACATTTTTACTGGATTCAAGATGCTATGATGGGATTCGACCCTGGTTTCAATGAACCCATTAGTATAGGAGTCCTGGATTACTACAGTAATGACATTACCACCAGGTCCCCAGGCTGTCCATCTGTACGACATATCAACAGAGACTTGGAATCTTCAGAGTTAACAGGGAACGCTGGTCTTACAGTACGAGGGAGGGACAGTTAGCCTGCATTGCTCAGATGGGATGGTTGTTAATGGTGTACCTTTTCTCAACAAAAATTCGGAATCACTATTGTCATATTGCCATTTGGGGAGGCAATGGCCTAGTGGTATTATCGCTGGACTATTAATCCAGAGACCCAGATAATGTTCCGGGGATCCAGGTTCAAATCCCTCCATGGCAGATGGCGGAATCTGAATTCAATAAAATATCTGGAATTAAGAATCTAATGATGGTCATGAATCCATTGTTGATTGTCAGAAAAAACCCATCTGGTTCACTGATGTCCTTTAGGGAAGGAAACTGCCATCCTTACCTGGTCTGGCCTACATGTGACTCCAGACACACAGCAATGTGGTTGACTCTAAACTGCCCTCTGGGCAATTAGGGATGGACAATAAATGCTATCTGGTCAGTGACGTCCTCATCCCATTAATGAATAAAGAGGAAAAACAAATATTGGGAAGCACAATCTGTGCACAACAGGCTCCCAGAAAAAAATAAGGAGTAAAAGCAACAAGACAGTCTGTTTTATTGGATTTGGTTAAGGGATAACTATCACCCTAGACCTCCTCAGTTTGAAACTGTACCTTGGGAACTTTGAGCAGCAGTCAGGGTGGGGAGGATGGGAGATTGGTTCAGACAACACAGCACTCCCTCAACAGGAATCACAGTGGGACAGGCAGCATCCACGGAGAGAGAGTAAGCTAATGTTTCGAGTCCACATGACTCTAATGAAGAAGCTATCCATTTCAAAGCATCCGGAATAGGGCATGGAATTGACAATGTCTGCTGCAGAGGAGAGTGTTCTAACACAGGAGGTTCAGGGCTGTTGAACCAGGCATGATGGGGAAGCAGGAATTAAAAACTCAACCAAAATATGTTAAAACATTTGCCACTTACCTCCACTGCTTTGTCGACTAGTTTGTGACAGAAGACTCAAGCGTTTCTCCAGCTCCAATGCTTCGTGGCTGATCCTCTCCTCTGTGTACGCTTGGCTCAAACTGGGATCTACAATCCAAAGGGAAGCAGTAAGGAGTTTTATCACAAAAATGTTTTGATTCCTCGATGCAGACAGACTTGGTTAACAGAGAGGACTCAGTAACCTCCAACACGGTGGCTCAGTGGTTAGCACAGCTGCCTCTCAATGCCAGGGCCCGAGTTCAATTCCAGCCTCGGGTGACTGACTGTGTGGAGTTTTCACATTCTCTCCATGTCTGCGTGGGTTTCCTCCCACAGACTGAAAATGTGCAGATTAGGTGGATTGGCCATGCTAAATTGCCCCCATAGTGCCCAGCAATGTCTATTCTAGGTGGGTTAGCCATGGTAAATGTGGGGTTATGGATATAGGGTGGGGGGTAGGGATGCTGTTTGGACGGTCGGTACAGACACGATGGATTGAATAATCTCTTCCTGCACTGTAGGGTTCCTACGATTTCTATAAATAACGGAGCCTCTAATATGTCTTTAAGCCTCAGCTGAGACAGGGATGCAGCCAGTAACGTTGTCAAAGGTTCAACTGATGGCATGGTCACCAATGGCAGCGATTCACAGGAGACCAGCATTGCAAGTGTATCTTGAATATCTCAGACACCAGTGGAGATTACTGAGACAGGGAGCAGTGAGGGTCATGGAGGGATTTGGAAACAAGGTTGCTTTACTGGGGGCCACCAGGATGACAGGGGAACAGGCCTCCCCACATGGACAGCAGAGATTCTGGATGACCTCAAGTTTACAAAGGTTGGAATGTGGGAGACCAGCCAGGAATGGTTTGGAGCGGTCAAGTTCAGAGGTTTAAAATTAAAAATCATGAATGAGGACTCTCAGCAGTATGCGAGCAGACAGACAGGGTCTAAATCAAAACTGAAAGAACTGCAGATGCTGGAAATCAGAAACAAAAACAGAAATTGCCAGAAAAGATCAGCACGTTTGACAGCATATGTGGAGAGACAACAGAGTTAATGCTTTGGGTCCCGTGCCCCTTTGGAAGGGTCACTGGACCTGAAACATTAACTCTGATTTCTCTCTATAAATGCTGCCAGACCTGCTGAGCTTTTCCAGCAATTTTTGTTTTAGTTTGAGACACAGCGAAGTTACAGAGGTGGTAAGATTGGTCTGGCTGATGGTGCCAATGAGAGATTATAAGATCACTGTGGGATTCACATGACAGACCAAGGCTACAAACAGAGTTGGCTTAACCCCAGACTGTTGCCGGGGTGAGGGTTAGAGTCAGTAACTAGGCAACGGATCGCAGAGTGAGAAAACTCAGGCAGTGGTAGCTGTCCCAATACCAGCTTCTGGTGGTTCACCCACTGTTCTCAGCACAAGTCCAAGGGCCTGGTTTTATTTAAGTCCAAGGACTTGAAAGGGATCTAATTCAACTCAAAGTCACATTCAGAACACTGAAGGATACATGATCTCCTTATGTGGAGATAAGGAGATATGGAAAGGTTAACTAATCAAGTGCTTCTTTATTCAACAGGGCATGTCCTTGCACTTGGGCTCTGATCTATCTGCACCTTCCAGCTTTGTCCTGCTCCATGGTTAAGCTACAACCAAGATCTGAAGACTCTCTGGTAACCACGCAATGGCCACTTTGTTTCCTGGAAGTTTGGCTGTCTACATTGCACTGATACAAGCTGTTTTGTCTCGCTAGATTGCCAATGTTCTGGGTCCCTTTAGACCTTTAGTTAGTCCTTGACATGAAGTAAGACTCTCTCCCTTCTGTAGTGCTGTAAACTCTCTCTTTACACTAGCACAGTAAATGCAGCTACCTAGTACGGTGTGTCCTCAGCTATGTCCCTCCTAAGCTCAGTTTTCCTCTCACTGATGACAGAGGCACATCAGAACTACCATTAGCATACCCACTTTTGCCATACCACAAACCATTCCCTTCCTCATCTCCTATTGCTCCCCAGGAGCACACATCATGGAGGTCCATGAAGTTACCCAGAAGCCTCATGCTCCACTGCCTTTTGTCTTTCATGTAGAGACACCCCTAGTCTCAGTGCCCACCACCCAACACCTTTGGTGCAGTTGATACAGAAGAAGAGAAAAAACACTCATTTAGAAGATCATAGAATCCCCTACAGTGTGGAAACAGGCCCTTCAGCCCAACACGTCCACACCGACCCTCAGAGCATCCCACCTTTTTT